CTCCTAAACTATGCCTATTATAGTTTACTAATGTTCTACTTGGACTGTTATTGAAAAGAGTCATTTATCTACTAAGTTATGCTTGTACTTTAAAAACGGATTTTTGTATAACTATAAAGTAACATAACTTTAAAAGAGTTTTTGAAATGTTTTGACAACTTATAAATGACATAAGTAACATTTTGAAAGATGTTTATAACAAACATTTACACAATTATCATTGTGTTCAACTTGTATTCCCCCCCCCCCCTTAAAACAGTTAAAACAGTTAAAAGATTCATTACGGGGTATGAACTCACCTGATGTGGGTGATTCAAACGGGTATGCGTGTAAGGATGAGAAGTTCCACGAATGAAGTCCCGAGACTCAATAAGTCCTAAATGACATATAAGGACACATATTGACATGAATATAGTGTTTATAAATAACTATATGAAAGGAAACATCTTCCGGGACTAGGAAACACTTTGACCGAGTGTTGGAATCACATGTGATTCAACAAAGGAAGGTAGAATGACACTCACATGAGTTTACGGCCATGGGTTTACGGCCCAAGGGAATTTACGGCCGTAAACTCATGGTCACTCATGTATAAGTGTAAGTTTGAAGGCTTGGGATGCTTTAGGGACTTTAGCTCTACACTAGGATGAGGAAGACCACCTTCATTGAGGTTTTTGATGAGTTTACGGCCCAAAGGTATTTACGGCCGTAAAATCATGGTCATTGTGCACTTGAGAGTAGTTTAAGGTCCTAATCTCATCCATGAAGGGTCCTGGGTCACTAGCTTTGCATCTAGGAGGGTTTATGGCCAAAATGGCAACCTTAAAGGGGTTTACGGCCTTGGGAGATGGCTTGGCCGTAAACTCCTTTTGTCCTTGTGTTCTTGATGTTTTCAAGTCTCTAATCATGGATACTAACTAGATAAGAAGTATAGGGAAGAGTACTTACGATCTAGAAGCTTGAAATGGTCGGTTTTGGCCAAGAACACTAGTGTGTGTTCTTGGTGTTATTGGTGAAACTTGAAGATTTAAGAAAAGAATGATTTCTATGGATGAAATCATGGAAGGATACTAGATTAAGAGATGTATCAACAAATCTAGGAAGAATACTTACTTATATGAAGATCTTGGAAGGAAATCTTGATGATACTTTAGAGGATTTGAAGAAAATCAGCCAAGGAAAGGAAAGAATGAGAAAAATGGCCAAGTATCATCTATATACCCTTGAGTTTACGGCCACATGAGTTTACGGCCGTAAACTCATGGTCTTGTGGCCGTGAACTCATTTTGATGAGGTTATTGTTTGATTTGCTACACTGTGGTTCTAGCAGGTACTTTCTAACACTTATTCCTTAAGTGTATTAGGCTCAAAACTCCTTAGAATGACCTTTAACCGGGCTGGAACTCAGTACTAATGAGTTTGACACTCAGTTGAGTTGAATGACTGGGTCTTAAAACCAAAATTTTTCCGGGTTGTCACATATTCCCCCCCTGAAAACTAAAGAAAACTAGAAAATGTAGGGGTATGAACTCACCTTGAGTGATTTCTTGAAGAGTGGAAGGTTGAAGACAAGGAGTATCAAGTCAAGAACACTTGATGAACATGTGAAAGCTTGGATGATCCTAAGAACGATTCTTTGGTGTTAAAATGTGTGTAGAAGATCTAAGAGTGTTAGGAAAATATGGAATAACACTTGAGTTTAGATGAAATACTTACCAAAAAGTGAAGTAGTAGCTCAAGAACACTTTCACAAAGTGGTGGGAAGTAGTGAGGAAAAGAGGCTTTCTTGAGGGGCTAAGAAGTGTGTAAGTTTGGAATGATCAAGGTAAACCAAGAAACCCTCCAGGGATTTCTTTATATAGTGAAGGTTGCTGGAGCAACTTGCAAGTTGAAATGATGTTTAACTTGGTTTGTGTGATGTGGATAAGATTGGGCTAATGAGAAGATGACGCATGGAGGCAAGTGCGCACACTTGACCCACTTGTGGTGTAAAATACTCTTCTTAATGTAAAATAATGATTTATAATTAATAAATCCTTGAGAAATGAATAAAATATGAGTTTAGGGAGTTTAAAATGATAAAAAATATGAATTTGGTGAAAAATCCCCGTCAAAAACGTCAAAAAACGAGCTTAGGAAGCGAAAGTAGTCGAAAACCGGGCTTAAGGAGCGAACCTGCGAGGTTTGGCTCTTAGGAGGTGAGAACCGAGAGAAGGGAGAAGGAGGAACCGAAGGTGGGAGAAGGAACCGAATGGGGAGGCTCGGGTCCGAAGGTGGCAGGGAACCGAAATGGACCGAGGGCTAGGTCTATTTCGGGTGTATGGAGGTTTCGGCTCTAACTGACTTCTGTTCGCAAGAGGTTCGGTCCGAGGGCTAAGTTCGGTTCTGACAGTTTGGTCCTGAGGGGACTTCGGTCCTAATAGAAGGGTTCGGCCCTAAGAGGTTCGGTTCCTAAGAGGTTCGGTTCCTAAGAGGGTTTCAGCCCTAATTAGCTGTTTTTCGATATAACTCCCCGATTCAAGCGGTTTTTTTGGCCAAGTTAAGGGTCGGGATGACCCGGATGACTATAAAAAGTTGAGAGAGATTTGGGAGAGATTTGATTTTAGTCATTATTAGTGTATAATCTCGTAATGCAAGGTTCGTGAACCCCGTTATGCTTCGTTTATGATTGTTTTAAGTCCCCAAAATGGTCTATAGTCGTGTTTTGATGCGTTTTGCTCCCTTTTTAGGGTTTTTACATTGCTAAACACATAGATTCTCCGAGACACTTGAATTCTTGACATACAAATGCACATTTTTATACATAGCATAACTTTTAACATATAAGTACTAGTTAAGTTTGACCGGTTTGACTTGTTGACTTTGACTTTGACTTTTGACTTTAACTTTGACTGGAGTTTGACGGTTGTCACATCCCACGTCGTGGTTTCTATCTGAAGACAACTTAATTGATTAAGCTCTAAACATGTAAAGTTCTTTAATTAAACCTTTTAGAAGGCATCCTTGCTTCATAAGGGACCATACAGATCATTACTCTATGGGCATGCACGTCCAATGCATGTCATTCACTTATCTAGGTTAAAATGGGAGAAATGGGGTCATAACCCCATGCATGAATTCAAAACCTCATAACCATCCAAATCTAAAGCACCTAACCGTTTTGGGACCTCAAGGATCAATAAAGTTGTAAACTTTATTGAATCTGTAACACCATTTTGTGAGGTATCATTTTCTTGGCGTTTTTGGTTAAGTGTTGACTTCTTTTAGACGAAATGGGCTTTGTACGTTGGGCGTAATGTGGGTACGTGCGACGTACTCACCTGACTTCGACATGGGGAAACACCTTTGTGTGTTGGGCGTACGTTGTGAATCAGCAGACACTAATTTTTAGGGTTTAACCCTATATAATCCCCATTATGAGGCTTGAGGCTACCCCCTTTTCAGCCTCTTTCCCTCATCAACCCTCCTACAAAACCCTAGGTGCCATTTGAGTGTTTTGAGCTTGGAAGTAACCTTTGTTAGTGTTTTTGGTGATATTGAAGAAGGAAGAATATCTTGGAAGTTGCTCTTGTGGTGCTAAAGCTTGTGGATCGAGAACTTAGCCACCTTGGTCATTCTTCAGAAGGTATCAAGTTCTTACCTTGACAATTCATCTCTTAGTTCTATATAGTTAAGGTTTTTGGTTCATTTTTGTAACATCTCAAAATTCAAGACCAAAAATTTCGTTTTTAATTAAGTTATTATAAAACCAATTAGTATAGAAGCATCCATAATAACATCCCATGTCAAAACCAAAGTGTCAATAATCAAAGCATGTTAACATACAACAATAACAGAGTGTAATCCCAAAGATCTCATATGCGGAAAACATAGTGTGATGCGCTGCGATCGAGCCGATTCCTTTCTTTTGAAAACGATGTACCTGAAACAAAAACTGAAAACCGTAAGCACGAAGCTTAATGAGTTCCTCCATCATACATACTATACAAATAACATACTGCCAGACAATTCGGGGGTGCTTAATTGATCAAGATTTTTTTAACGTTTTTTGCCTAAGATTTTTGGCCATATCAAGCAAATGTTGCATGTCGTGATTAATACTGTCATGGCATACCCTAAATCGTCAAGTCTTAAACAACAAAACATAAAGTTTCAAAATAAATTTCATATTTAGTTCCATGTAAAACTTCAATTCAAATACGTATTTGAATTTATTGATAATAAAAATCAGAAACGACTACCCACTGATTACACTTTATATTTATATATATCAAACTAGTTTATAATCCGTGAGAACCACGGTTATAAAATTAATTAAACTTTTATAATAAAAATTTATAATCAATTAGTTTAAATAAATTATTTTAAATAAATTATTAATTAAGAGATATATCAAAATTTTAAAGTTATTATAACTTCAAATTTAACATATAATTAGAAAATATAAATTTGAATTTTGATATGAGTTGTCTAATATTTCTACATGACACATGACATAATATTAATGAGGAGTTGTATTAGAGTGACTTTTGGCAAAACATTTATTAGAATAAGGATAATATCTTAAAATATTTTATTATTTTATATTAGATAGCTTTATTAATTTAAAATATCTATATAAAGAAAAGTATTACTCATTCCGTCCCAAAATTATAGTCCATCTTTCCTTTTTGGTTTGTCTCAAAATAATAGTCCACTTATAAAAATAAATAACATGTTTACCAAAATACCCCCTCATTATTACTTAACCAACCAAGCATTTAATAGAACATTAAATGCAAAGTAAGAACAAAACTGTCATTAAATAAAGTTAGTGATAATTAATGTTTTCTTAATATGTGTGTTTTTTGTCCGTGGACAATAATATTGGAACGGAAGGAATACTATGCGTACCCTAAGTCATATAAATCTTCAAACCATTTGGTACTCAAACAATATTAGATATGGTACTACATTCACATGGGTACATTAAGCACTGGGTTTGGGGGTAAGTATATAAATTTCCGTGTAAAGAAAGCATAGTTTATGAAACCTACAAAATGGTCAAGGTTCAACGCCGGAAGTACCGAGTCCAGTGCACCTTCCATTTTAGTTGAATTTGCGGAAGTTTCAATCACCTTCCCTGATTCGTAACGTCAGAATTTATAGACTGCGACAGCGATTAGGATCGATTTTTCTACCATTTCTCCTTCCTTTCGATGGTTTTTCTGTTTTTACACTTTTACCAAGCAAACGCGCACGCAGACTTGCCGATCAATTTACCAGAATCAATTATAAATACCATCTCACATAAATGATAAATCTCAACTTTCTTTTAACATTTTCCTGCACCTTGGTCGCTGTGGGTATAGTATAATCACCAGTGTTTTTGAGTTTGCAAGTGTTTATAAAATGAAGTCGTCACTGGAGAAGTTTGGGCGCAAATTAACGATGCACAAGAACGATGGGAAGGAGAAGAAGGATCATCAGCCTTCCGCCCATTTGGATGAGCTTGTTCAGGTTTCCAAGGTATGGATTTTGTTTTTGTTTTTGTTTCCTTTTGTGTGCTGCCTCTGATATCGAATTTCCTGTGCAAATCAAGTTAGGATCGATTAGGGTTTCTCATACTTCTCTTCATGGTTGTGGACTGTAGTTGCACACTTGTAATGCACTATATTATAAATTAATCTCTCTTTTTCACGACTAAAATACTCTTTGCAGAAAGATGTAAGATTAAGAAGAATCCTATATATAATAATGACCCAAGGCGATCAAATTCACAGCCCATGATAGCACGTTTCTTCCATCTACGCCATTTATGGGTGGTGGAGTCTGATTGTGGGTAGTATAAGGTGTCAATGTTGTTGAAAGTGTAAGGTCGATTGCTTGATCAATATATTCTTTTGCAGGATATGCAAGACATTAGAAACTCCTATGATGGCTTAATGTCAGCTGCTGCTGCAATGACAAATAGTATATTTGGTAGGTGTTTTCCTTTTGTATCCAAATGCCATGTTTTGTTGCATCTAAGTTATATACTCACACTGACAAGTACAGGCAGCTAGCTATTTTTATTTTTATGCATATAAAGTAACCTCATATATCTTTGGATCTCAGAATTTTCAGAATCTCTACATGAAATGGGGACCTGTTTGCTGGAGAAAAGTGCAAGTGATGTTGATGGTGAAAGTGGTAATACAAATTGTTTCGTTGTTTGTTACTACATTTCCACATCTGTTTTGATGTTCAATACCTAATTATAAACTTTCTGTGTGCAGGAAGAGTGTTATCAACTTTAGGAAATAATACAATCAGAACTCCAAAAAATCGCGGATAGTTATGTAAGTGTTGTCAATATTACGGGTATTCCACTTTCTTATGGTAATAATTAATATCAGCGACTTATTCCTCTTCATATATCAGCGTTCTTACGTGGTTGTGACAATTACAAATCCATCAGAGTCTCTTCTATCTGAGCTACAAAAAGTAGAGGAGATGAAGCTTCAATGTGATGAAAAAAGGTATATATTTATATATTTGCCATTGATATGAAAAATTTGTTAATCGTAGAGTCTGCATACAGAGGTGTGTACGAATACATGATGTCACAACACAAAGAAAAGGGAAAGTTGAGAAGTGGAAAGGCTGAAAGTTCAGTTGCACAAAAACTACAAGAAGCACAAGATGAATATAATGAAGTGGCTAGACTATGTGCCTTTCGGGTAAAATCACTCAAGGAGGGACAATGCCGTAGTATTTTGACACAGGCTACTCGCCATCATGCTGCACAGGTGTCATTTTTGTTAATACATTACGTGTCACTATCTTTGAATATTGTTTATTTGTTTTGTAGTGAAAATGTTTTTTTTTTTTTTTTTGGAGCAGTTGAATTTTTTTCGTAAGGGATTTAAGGCTCTTGAAGCAGTTGACCCGTTGATAAGAATTGTTGCAGAGAAGCATCGAATCGATTGCCAACTCACTGAATTTGATGATGTGAATGGTGGGGAAGATGGAGGTATGAACAGCTTTGAGAGGATTGATGATGGGGAATTGAGTTTTGACTATGGGCAAAAGAAGCAAGGACTTGATAATTTTGGCACATCAATGGAGGTAATCTGCTTTTGGTTATAACTCTAAAAACTGTTGTTATGGAAAAGGTAAAATAATGAAGTAAAATTCTTGTATTGTTGGAGGTTTTAGTGATTCTATTATTAATTAATTAGTTTCCTTTTGTAGATTAGTTTCCATGTGTTGTAAGTATCATATATAATATATTGATTTGCATTTTGCAGGTAGACCGGCCTGACATACCACATCTTCTTCAAGTTCCAACTTCAGAAGATCGACATGTATGCGTGCAACAGCTAGTGAACATTCATTTTCAGTGTAATTCCATTTAACATTAAAATATATGATAAAATAGTTTTATTATTTTGCCACAGATGAATCATTATAAACAACAGCAAGGGGCGCGAGCGAGCAGTTATTCTGCCCCGTTATTCCCGGATTCATCTGAGAAGCCTAAGGAAACACTTACACAAACACAACCCCGACAGAAATTTCACTCTTACGTGCTACCTCCTCCAAAAACACCTCCTGCATCATCTGTCCCCCACACCAATAATCCATTCAGCAAGTTGCAACCAACAGATGAGAAACACGAGAGGGATTCTAATGATTCCAAACCCACGATAAAAGATTCCAATTCCAGCATCCAGTTACCTGCTCCTCCTCCTCCTCCTCCTCCTTCATGGAGTGGGTTTGATAGTAAAGTAGGGAAAAGACTAGCCTACTCTGGTCCATTGCTGCCAACCAAGGGGGGGTTTTCCGGAAAGATAAATACTAGTGAAGTTCATGTTTCTCGTAGTGTTTCACCTCCGCCTCCGGGTCTATCACTATCACTATCTTCTTCTCCCAGAATCAGTGAGCTTCATGAGCTTCCTAGGCCTCCTCCTCCTTCAAAACAGGGTATGATGGGATATTCGGGTCCGTTGTTTTTAAAAAATCAAGACAGATCTCATTCTCCTCCCAAAATAAGTAAAACCTCAATTGCAATTGCGTCTCCCCTTCCACCTCCTCCGTTAGTTGTTCCTAGAAGCTTCTCAGTTCACTCTAGCAACCCGAGTGCTATGGAGTCCCCACAGTCACAAAGAACAGGAGGCAGGACTAGGCATGAACAACAACAAATCTTCTCTCCCCCACTCACACCCATTTTGCTTTCAAATCTCAAGTCTAGAGGCCACACCTAAGCCTAAGGTAATCACCTATTTTACTATTCCATACTTGCCACACACTCTTTTTGTGAATGGGAAATATACTAATCTCATTGTCTTCAAGTTACCAATATGTATATGCCATTTATTATATATTGCATTTATTATTAGATCAAGAGCTAACCAGATATGGGATGGTCCCCTATGCCCGATATAACAGGTTACCAACTTTCATTTTTACAATGGTGGCCCTAGTTTTAAATTTTGTTATGAACTCGGTTCAAACTTTTTTTTTTTTTTTTTTTTAAATTTATATACATCTTTTCTTTACAAATCTACTTTTTTTTTTAGGATAGTACCTTTCCTAAAAATAGTGTTAGCCTTGCCCTGTATTAAAAGATGGTTGAAAACCTGAAGTTAAACAATAGTTATTTATGGTGGAATCCCATTCTTCCTGCAGCGAGCCACCCTTTATATGTTTTTATTATAATTCTCGTCTTCAAAACATCATGTCTGATAATTAATTTTGTTTCAGTTTCGTATCAATTAAATGGTTTGGTTTGTTGCAGGTGGAAGCTGATTCGTGTTGTGCTTGAACATAAGGTTGTTTTTTTTTAGTTGAATGACGTTTTATAGAGTTTCTTCGTTTATCTTGGTTTTTTTGGGGGACAGGGACAGGTGTGTAAATATAAGGCATTTCTTGTGTTTTTAACATCATCATAGACATTTCTGGATTTCCTTCCTAAATCAAATTTAATTTTTGCATGTCTACTTTCCAATAATGATTAAATTTTATACCTTATGTGGGTGGCTAATCTCAAGAAACCTCCTACTTATCCTACAGATACGAGAGTTAGGGTTTATACTTTATAAACTTACATTAATCATTAAAATCCTCAGATCTTCTCAATATGATGTGTTCCTTTATGGGGGGTGTATTGATATTCCCTCTCCGACATTGCTCAGGAGGAGATGCTGAGTTCATATAGAGTTGGGGCCCAAAACAGATAATATCACAATCACTCTATTAAGGGGGTTTTCTAGCATGCTGAACAATTTGAAAATTATATAACAAAATTTTATTTTATTTTTATTTCAGATTTTATGTAGATTGTTATGCATAATTGTTTTTTTGACGCGGCATGGGTTGTTTACCTGTTCACTCGTAGCAAAAAAATGAAGTTCAATTGTCTATTGCATAAAAAAAATTAGGGAACAAATGAGTAAAGTGACAACATGTTGCTAGTAAGCGAGACGAACCCCTAAAAGCAGTTAAGGAAAAACTTATAATAGCAACTAACTAAAGTAATACTAATTACAGAGTCAAATTGCATAAAAACCTGGTATTAGGTTAACTTTTATAAATTTAATAGGTAAAAACACCCTATTTGGCCAATTAGACATCCCAATCATTACTTTTTATTGGAAAAACATATTGATGATTACATGATGATTTCTAATTACACATTATATGATATATTACTTTTGATTTTTAAATGATTATATGTTTACATTTAATTTATAAATGCTAAGTAATACACGTTTTTTTCTATAAATAATTACTTTTAAGTTATAAATATTAAGTAATTCGTATATTTTTTATATTATATATATATAAAGGAAAAATGACATACGAGCCCAACAAAGTTTCCAAACCGTTTAAAAAACTCTAATAATTTTTTGTCTGTTCAAGAAAACCCAACGAACTTAATCATTTATCTAAAAAAATCCAACTAAGTTACACTTTTGTTCAATTCTATGGAACTCAAAGAAGAGAAACAGATGTCGTGGCTTATTACCATATCGGGAAAATGACTCGTAAGACTAACAAATTTCCAAACTGTTCAAAAAACCACGATAATGTTTTGTCTGTTCAAAAAACCTAACGAACTTAACCTTTTGAACAAACAAAACATAATTGAGTTTTTTTGAACGGTTTGAAAACTTCATTGAGCTTTTTAGACAAGATGTTAAGTTCGTTGGATTTTCTTGAACAGACAAAACATAATCGAAGTTTTTTGAACGGTTTAAAAACTTCGTTGGACTTGTAAATTATTTTCTCATATATATAAACACAAAAACATGAGACATTTTTATGTATAAAAAAACTTATTGTAAAAAATAAATTCGTAAAAAAAGATTGTTGTTATTTATTAAAAAAAACATGCCTAATAAAAAATGATATAATTTTTTAAAATTAAAAATGCATCCCTAAGAATATTTGTGGTAAATGAACGAAACGATTAAACACTTAAAAAAACCACTATTTTCACGTTCAAACTAATTTAATTTTTTATTAATTTTCTTTTATTGGGCAAGATTTTTATTTATTTTTATTTTTTTTATTTTTAAATTTTAATAGATTTTTATTAAAAACACAACATGTACATGAAACAATGGTCGCATCGTCTGTTGATATATGTACCATCACTAAATACAAAGCTTCATAGATATATTTTTGAACATTTTTTATTAAGATAATATTTAATTGAAAATAAACAAATAAAATAAATAGGCTCCATAAATATATTAAAAGTTAACGTTATTAGAATAAATATTAATAGTAATAAAATAATATTAAAAGGGTAAGTAATAAAAACAAGAATTTCCGGCTCCTTCCTTCGTGAACAACGACCATTTGACTGTTTGGAATAAAAGAATCTCATTGGTCGTTTACAAAGCTATCCCCTCATTGATTGTCTTCGCCCGTGGAGCTGGTCACGCCACAACACACCCACGCTCTTTGGGGGAGGTGTTCACGTGTGGGCAGAGGTGCCACATCAGTCTTCACGCGCGTGATTTCCTCTCTCATACCGGATGACCTTAGAGGTGTTTATGAGATGTTTTTTTAGTATCACCCGTTATGAATTTAACTTTTTTGAAAACAATAACATACTTTTGATTTCTTCAAGGCAGCTAATTGTCAAAAATGACAATTTATTTTGGATTTTTAAAAAAGATAACAGTCTATTTCTTATGGATTGCATAAAATTAGAGAAATTAGAAGTATATACTATTTTATAGTAAAAACACAACAATGCAAATTATATGTATATATATAAATTCTATTCATCCCGGTCTTTGAAAATTGTCTTTCTTTAATTCTTTTGTTTTATAACTGAACAGTATTTTCTATATAAACTAACTACTATTATTTTTAATTTAACTAATTATGCTCTCTATGTTACTTTTCTAAGATAATGATAGTGACTTTATATGGTTTTTGGTTGGTGCGTGAATCAAAGTCAGAGACTGCATAATAGACTTTGAATTGGTCGAATGAACCCACTTCAATTCTTATTCGAATACAACCTTTCTTTTAAAGGCTAAGTAATTATAATAATGATAAAATAATAATATAATGAATTACAAAAAAAGAATGAAGGAATTTAGTCAAAGACAGAATGCATCACGAATCACCATGGATGGATGATGGATGTTAAGATGAGGCTCCGGCCGCCTTTCTGGTTGCTTTTGGGTGGCCGGGATGCCACGCACGGCCGTGCCAGAAAGTGACTCTATGCACCTGAAACACCTTTCTATATCTTCCTCCTCTTGTATCTGCTTCTTCCTTCCCTGCTAAATCCCCCCGTACGCAAACCTATATATCCCATTGATTTTAATTCAAATCAGTTGATCTAATTAAATTAACCTAATAATTGCTTGCCTTCGTATGTTGACAATCATACCTCGCCATTGCATATCAACTTTTCACCTCCTCGGGTACCAATTACGATCTCCTTTCCTCTTACATCACCTGCATCCATGATTAATTTGGGAATAATTACATAAATGTTGCATGATAACGATGTGCAACTATTATACTATACATATTCATATGTGCGTCAACACCTGAAGTAGCAACGTCGTCATCCTCGGGGAAGGATTGAACGTACTCCCTAAAGCTAGGAGATCCGACCCACAATGGATCGTCATTGCCGTTGCCATCGTGATATGCGATGTTGATTTTTTGCAATTCCGGTGGTTGGTGGAGGTTTGATGGTTCCTCGATTAGCAATTTGGGAGGATGAGTTTGGGGTTTACTATGATGGGGGCTGCGAAAAACGACCAGACCCTCGTTGGATCTGGACACCCCGCAACCCATTGGTATGGAGGAGGATTCTGTTGATGAAGGAACAAAGTTCACATGGATCGACAGAAATTGGGAAGTGGGGAATCGGAGTGAGGGATTGGGACGACGACATTATGTGATTGTGATTGTGATTGTATGGCAGAGCAGGAAGGAACGAGGGATGTTACGGGTATTACGGACATCCTTATTCTAACACCATCATCCACTATCCTTTATATATTCCAACAAATACCAGAATCTGTAGTAAGGTTATCTAATAATAGTTCAACTTTGGTTAAAGGATCACTGATCCTGAATTCGCTCAAAATGAAAACTCTTTTGTGTTAGATCTCAAAATTAAGCTCAAACATATCGGTGTTGTTGGA